GGACAGGGACAGGGGCCGAAAACGAAGGCGGGGGAGGGGACGACGGAGAGGCCGAGGGAAGGACAGGAAGACGAGAGAAGGGCGGAAGGAAACGAGCGTGGAAAAAAGAGAAAAAGTTACGGCTCTCTCCGTACAAAGTCAGGTGCTGCGCACAAACAAACGCTCTAATTTTAAAATGTGTCGTTGCAGCCCTCCGTGCCTCTCCTTTCATCCAGGTGCCCCTGGACGCTGCTGGAGGAAGTTTCCTCCGAGGGCTCAAGGGCAGTGCTGCCAGCCGGCGCGGCCCCAGCGCTGGAAAGTTTTGATAAGCAAATGCGGCCGGTCGCGCACCCTCTCCATTGGCTGCCGCTTCGCCGCCAGATTTTGACACAAATAATCAGATTGAAAATCAGGGAGGGGAACAGAAGAGGAAAAAAAAAAAAAAACTCATAGAGACACTGAGAGAGAGAGAGAAAAGGAGAAGTGTCTGTTTGTGCAGGGAGTCGCCAAGTTGACAGAGAGGAGAGCGGTCTGGCCGGCCCGGGACAGGCTTGGGGGTTCCCACCACAAGGACCCTCGGAGGGGCTCTGCAGGGACAGCCCGCAGGTGAGTGCTGAGGAGCCCCCCTGCGCCTTTCCTGAGAAATTTGCATGTCCGGCTGTGAGCCTTTTGGAGTGGGATGTCTTGTTCCTTTTGTAGTTAGAGGAAGAAGAAGGAGGGCTGAAAAATGTCCTTTTGGGGACACAGCTTTTTCCCTGGGACAGGGGGTGAGGACAGTGTTGTCCGAGATACCCTGTGCTTGAGTAGGATTCAGACCTCTGCCAACCTCGATTTTGACGGGACAGCTAGTGCCCACACCCAATCTCCCAGCAACCTGTGCAGTACACACGCGTGTGTGGAGGGGCTTGAGTTGGGATTTCTTCCTATTACAGACCCCCTAGGGCCCCACAGTCCTAGGCAGCTATCACAGACGTTTCCTGGACACTTTGGGGGTCAGGTGCCCTCCCCTCTTGAGCCCTGTGTGGAGAAGCCCAGATTGCTTGGCCTCCAGAGGTGTGGGACTGTGGTGGGCACAGGGGCTGCTGTCTGGGGTCTCTTGCCTGCGGGATTGTGCTTAGTCCTTTTTGCCTACTTTTGGAGAGAATAGTTGAGTCCATGGGCATTGGGGAGAGACGCTCCTAACAGGGTTTGTTAGGGAGAAGTCTATAGGTGTGAGCCTGAGGACATTTTTTTGGGGAAAGGTCTGCAGCTTTGGAAAATCTTTGAGGACAAATGACACTTTCTGCAGGAAAGAAATGACAATGAAAAGAGATGACAATCTGTAGTTGTCACTTCAAAGGCCAGCGGGGTTGCACTTGCCCCCCTGCCTGTTTCTTAGGTCTTCAAGCCTGGCAAAGTGGCAACTTCCACGAGCCGCCACAGCAGTTCTGGGGGTGAGGAGAGGTGCTCCTAGCCCTTCCAGCCCTCAGCTCTGGGGATCAGTGCTCTCGTTTCCCTGCAGAAAGCTCTTGGGAAGCACCAGAGAGCTGTACCTGACTTAGATTTGATGACCAAGTCAGCCAGAAGCCAGCGGGGCTTCCAGAGAGCAGGGGGAGGTGGGTGAGGGTTGGTGAGCAGCTCAGGGAGCCCATCGGGTGCCACAGGAACCCTGCTTGCCAACCCGTGCCCCGGAGGCCTTTCCAGCTGTGGCAGAACATTGTCACCCCTTTGTCTGGAGAGAAGGTGCGCATCTGTTTCTTTCCAGGAATTCTGACCAATGAAAGTTGCTCTGGTCTCTGTGACTGACACAGACAGGAAGTAGTTCAAGGGTTCTTATTGCCATAAAGCTTGCCATTTTAGCTTTTTTTTTTTTTCTGTTCTGTTTTGAGGCTGAAAGCCAGGGCTTCACACATGCTAGGCCAGACCTAGCCGTCTTCCCAATCCACCCCACCCCCACCCTCACATATAAACTCCTGGACTCAAGCAGTTCTCCTGCCTCAGCCTCCCAGGTAGCCAGGACTACGGGTGTGTGCCCCCATGTCCAGCTCATGGTAACCTCTTTTAAGTGTGCTGCTCAGTGATAGTCAAGTCTACTGCCCTTACCAGGCGGCCAGCACCACCACCCATCCCTGGAGTTGCTTCTGCATATGAAGCTGCAGCTCCACACCTATGGAGCGCTGGCTCTTCTTCCTCGCCTTTAGCCTTGAATCCACTTCAGCGTCTACAATATTCGCTTCATCCAGGCACTCCTGTGGGGGTCCCAAATCATCAGGCCTTTGCATGGGTGGCTTATTTCACGTAGCATGATTTCCCGGGCTCACTGGGCTGCGTGCCCCTGAATGTCCTTTCTTTCTGAGGTCAAGCGATCCATCCTGTGCTAGGCACAGACCACAGCTTGCTTATGCACTCATGTGTGGATGGAGCCACTCAGTAGCTTCCACTTCTTGGCAGGTGGGAGTCACACTGCTACGCACGTGGGTGTGCAGATCATTCCTAGCGGGGACCCCTTCTCACTGGTGTGAGGTTTCTACCCAGTCGTCGATTTGTGTACTTGACACATGGAGTCCTCTGCTAAAATGACACGAACTCATCTCCCCATGACGCCTCTGCAGAAGGGTTTGGTGTGTGTTTCACCTGTAGCCTTTCGGAATCATTAAATGCATGGAAGCACAGAGGGTCCCCTGTAGCAGGCCCTGAGGGTCACCCTATCTTGCCTAACCCTCCTGAAAAGGGAACCCATGTGACAAGGGTCTTGGTCAAGGTAGGTCAGTCCCTCCCTGAAGAGCAACGAATCCTACATGGGATTTTAGAGCAAAAGGGAAGTTTAGAAATCTCTTAGCCTAACCGTCTCTTTTGAGAGATAGGGAAGCCAAACCCAGGTCAGTGGCTGATGTGGTCGCAAGCTCCAGGTCACAAAATCAGGCTTGTTCCCTGGGCAGCATGAGCAAGCTGCCCCTTTGCAGGATACCCAACGGCCCACTGAGCTGGCCCTCCCTGGAAATTGGGGTGCAGGACACTGCCGAGTGCATACCGGGCCCCTTCAGGAAGCGCGGCCGAGATTCTGGCTCAGGATGGCAGGGACCGTCTCTCAGGATGGAGAGCTATGAGGAGATGTTAACTCAGGGCCTCCTTCCGGAGCCCCGATACCATCAGCGCCTCTGTTTTGTGAAGAAATCCGGAGCTTCTTTCACAATCTCTGCTCTTAGCTGCTTCTCAGAACCGTGTGAATCAAAACCGAGTGTTTGTTAATTAACTACAGGATAGGTGATTGGTTCCTGTTTTTTTTTTTTTTTTAACTCTTCCAACAGGGGCCAGAAGGAAGTTCACCGAGTACATCTGGCTCCCACTGCGGGCTTGGGGGCTTGGGCGAGTGTTGGCCATGTCACCTGGCCTTTGCTGGGCTCAGAATGAATACCTGGAAGGAAAGGGGAGGACTAGGCGCTCAGGGAGACCACCTTCCTCCCACAGGGGACCCCAGAACCCGGGCCTGTGCTCCCTGTGTGCGTTGAAAGTGAACGCTGGACAACTGCACAAGGTCCGTGGACCTGGGCTCGCCACTGCAATCCTGGGGGACCATTCTCCCCCATGTCTCCCCCATGTCTCCCGTGTCACAGACCACTCCCATCCCTGCTGTGCAGCCGTGGGTCGGACTGACAGACATAGGCTTGCCCGGACTCAGGCATCTCTGGAGTTTCCTGAAACAAGTGTTTGGAAGAGGAACGGTTGTGGGGAGCGTGTGGGGGGAGGGGAGGCAGGAGAGGAAAGAGGTGTCCCTGGAAGATAAGGTCTCAGGCTGCTTGCATCTGAGAGGAAGGGACTCCAAGGGCCAAGTCCTCTGTTCCTTTTAGAGCTCAGAGCATGGAGGGTCTTGAACAAGTGCCTGGCTCCCTGAGGAGCTTAGTGGTCCTAGTCCAGGGCTGGTTTGTCCTTGAAGTACTCCCACTATGGGATGGGCCTGGGGATGTGACAGTACTCTACTTCCTCCTGGCCCTTGAAGGACCTTTCCGGTGGCCAGAGATACCACCACAGTGGTACCTGCACCTGGTCAGCGGCAAAGCCTGCCAGCTGCCATGCCGAGCCCTGCTTCTCCATAATACACAGAGATCCCATGAGCTCTTTCTGGGTCAGGACCCCACTTAGAAGATGGGGCACCTAGGCTCCGTGATAGGTGCCCCCCAGGCAGGGCTCTGGCCTGGGCCCCTTCTTCCTGGCTACAGGCCCAGGCTCCAAAGGCAGGACGCAGGCTGCCTTTTCTAATCTCCTGCCTCCCAGCCCCCTCCCTCTGGTCCTTATCACCCAGGCTGCTGTTTAGGAGCAGCCGAAATCCCTTTCCCGCCTTGGCAAGGGGCCCTATCATACTGTACCCCATGTGTCACTGACAGGGTGGGGGTAGGGCTCTTCGGCACAGCTTGGAAGTGGGGACCTGGGAGATGCTCTGTGTCTCCTCTTAGGGGCAGGGGTCTGACTGAGGCAGGGGCACTGCTTCTCGGGCAGGTGTGGTGGCTGGGTTCCCTTGCTCCTGGGAGCTGCTGTAACAGGTGTGCACAAGCAAGGTGGCCTGCGAAGCACAGAGGGTCATCTTGTCCCAGCTGCGGGCACAAAGAGTCAGCGAGGCAGCTCCCTCTCCAAGGTCTCGCCCAGCTCCTGGGGCCTGCCCGGTCCCTGGTGGTCCTTGGATTGTGCAAGCCAGCTGGCCTCCTCCCTGTGTGTGTCCAGGGGGCCAGGCTTCTACCTTCTTACTAGGCCACTGGTCAAAGTCCACCTGACCGGGTGTGACCTCATCCCAACACGGCTCCATCCCCACAAAGGCTCTGCCTCCCCTCAGGTGCAGGGTCCACAGGTCCAGGAGAGCAGGGGCTTCCACCCCAGAGCATGGCTGATGGCAGGAGGAGGAGCCATCTTGTCTATTTTGTTTTGGTGGCACTGAGGAGGGACCCAGGGAAGCTCTACCCCTGGGCTCCATCTTCCCAGCCCTTTGAAAGTTTTTTCTTGTCCCTCTCAGTATTCCTACTCGCCTCCCCTACAGGGGACACAAACTGAGGATGCCACGTTCCTTCCTGGTGAAGAGCAAAAAGGCGCACACCTACCACCAGCCTCGCGCCAAGGAAGAGGACCTGGTCTGGTCTCCTGCCCCGAGCCCTGGTGAGGTGGTGCCCCGGGCTGGCCTCCTGCTGCACCTCCCTGCCTCAGCTTCCTGAAGTGCTTTCTTGCTAACCTGGAGGCAGGAGTTCATAGATGCTGGCTGTATGAATGAATGACACCCTTGCCTTTGCCGACCCTGCCGGGTGCGGGCACTTAGGCATCCGTGCCTGCCCCACTGTGGACGTAGGGGTCGCAGCCGGAGGGCCCGCCAAGGGTGCCGTCCAAGGTGCTCCTGGGGTCCTCCCGCATCACACCCACTGGCAGAGCCCCACGTGGGAGCAGCCAGAAGCAGCAGCAGTTGGGCTCCCTCTGGGCCACTAGCTCCCTGCGGGTCTCCCAGAAGCAGTGGCAAGGTGACCCCAGGGTCTTGTCTCCTCACAGGGGCCAGCAACCAGGTTCTGAGCAGCAGCCTTGCTCTGGGCACGATGCTCCCAATCCCATACTCCGACTGGAAAACTGTGAAGCAGCAGCCAGAGCTGGAGCCACAGCAGAGCCTGCCTAGGACAGCTGTGGGGCCAGGTGGGTGCCCAGCTCGGGCCTGCCCAGCTAGCCCCCAGGGAGAGAGGGAAATGAGTGCCGGAAGCAGGGTCTCTTGGGGTTTCCAGATGCCACCTGGAGCCTGTGGCTTGCACTTGATGGCTTGTCATGGAGGGGATGTTCATTCCCAGAGGAATCGGGTGGGCAGCAGTCTGGGGTAAGCACGGATCTTCTGGGCTGGAAAACTGCAGAGCCACCAGAAGGACACAGCCCCCGGAAGCAGGCATCTGGGGCGCAATGAAGCCCTGACCAAGGCCACCATGGTAGTGCTGGGTGGCAGCGGTGCTGTAGTAGAGGGGACCTGTCCTTAGGTAAATTGCTGAGTATATGCCTTCGACTCCCTCCTCAGAGGGGCCCGCGGTGGCTTCCCAACCGCTGGACAGTGACTCGCAGCTCTCCGACTCGCCCCCTTTCTACAAGCCCAGCTTCTCCTGGGACGCACTGGCCTCGTCCTACGGCCACAGCTACCCGCAGACGCCGTCCACCATCCAGTCAGCCTTCCTGGAGCGAGCCGTGAGGCTGTACGGCAGCCCCCTACTGCCCAGCGCAGAGCCGCCCCTGGACTTCAGCCTGCGCTACTCCCCGGGTGTGGACACGTACCACTGCCTCAAGTGTGGCAAGGTGAGGGCGGGCGCTGCTCTGCAGGCATGCGCAGCTCGAAGCGCCCTGGGCTGTCAACCCTGGAAGCTTCTAGGAAGGCAGATTCAGGCCCTTTGTCCTCTTTATGATCCCCTGGTCCCCGACTGCGTGCCTGGCCCTGTGCGGGGTTGGCATTCTTGAGCTCCAGGGGTAGATGAAGATCTAGGGAACAGAGAGGTTAAGACAAGACCTCACAACAAGGACACAGAAGAACCAGCCTTCATGCCTGGTTCTGGCCGACTCTGGGCCCTGCTCAGCCTGTAGATGGGGCCGGGAGGGGTGGTCCACATCCCTCTCTGGCCCCTACTCTGGACAGGAAGTTGAGCCAGGGACTTCCCCAGAACATGCAGCAAGAGAGCCTCAGCAGTAGCAGCGCAGCGACCCCTCCCTGCCTTCCGTGTGCGGAGCCAGACGTGGGGCCGCAGGTGCCTCCTCGCACGGCCTCAGGCTCTGCCCCTTCCAGGTCTTCTCCACCCCGCACGGACTGGAGGTGCACGTCCGCCGCTCGCACAGCGGGACTCGGCCCTTCGCCTGCGATGTCTGCGGCAAGACCTTCGGACACGCCGTCAGCCTGGAGCAGCACACGCATGTCCACTCCCAGGTGGGCACTGCTCTTGGGGAGCCGGGGCTGGGCTTCCTGGCCGGCCCTGGGAGGTCACAAGGCTTGGGGACCCTCACTCCCCACTTGCCGAGTTGTGTGTCCCTGAAAATCACCTCTAGCCTTCTGGGGTTTCTGACCAGTGGAGCTGGCTGCATGTGTCACTGGGAGAGGCTTCTGCCCGGTGGGACTTGGGAGGAGTGATGTCTACAGTGCTCAGAAGCATCCTGTCCCCTGGGTGGCCCGGGCAGGGATCCTCAGTTTTGAGGACCTCAGTGCCCCCAGAGTTGGGCTGTAAGCATTACTTCACCCCATTTGGGCCTACGTGGTGGGGGTGCCATCTGGGTACTTGGTCCAGGGATATGAGTCACCTCACCTGGGAAGATAGGAAAGACTGGGCGGGAAGAGCAGACTGCCCTGTCTGGGGAACTCACTGTGGGGTAATGAAATGTGAACGCATGCAAAACCTCTCAGGTCAGGCAACCCATCAGTCAGTCAAACAGTCCCTGAGGCTTATGTGGAGAGGCATACTGTGGAAACCTCCCCAGGAGGCCAGTGAGGCCCCACGCCTCAGTCTACCTGGAGGCAACAATTGAGGGTGGTCCCTGGGTCCCTCGAGGCCGCCCCAACAGAGTGTCCTCTTCCTCAGGGGATCCCGGCCGGGTCCAGCCCCACGTCCAGCTTGGCTCTCCCGGGCCGTGAGGCCCCACCTGCTCCTGACCCCCAGGGGCCTCGTTTCCTCCGGCAGGAGCGCAGCTTCGAGTGCCGGATGTGTGGCAAAGCCTTCAAGCGCTCGTCCACCCTGTCCACACATCTTCTCATCCACTCGGACACCCGACCTTACCCCTGCCAGTTCTGCGGCAAACGCTTCCATCAGAAGTCAGACATGAAGAAGCACACCTACATCCATACAGGTGAGTGGCCACCTCCACATGACGTGGGGCAGGGGACAGGCCTGGGCTCTGCAGGAGCAGGCAGGGTGGTTCCCAGGGCCTAGACGTCAGGGGTGGAGGCTGCTGTCCTCCAGGATCCCTGGGCAGTAAGGAGACACTCTTCCATCCATTCACTCACTCATCCGCCTCTTACCATCATTCGAGTTCAGAGCCCTTCCATAGGGGGCCCTGTGCCAGCTGTGGGCTCAGTGGGTAGACAGGGTCCTGGGCCCTGTTCTACCAGCGTCCAACGGAGTAGGGAGGCCTCTGTCTGTCTCCCCATGGGTCCTGAGGCAAGAGTGGCTGGTCACCAGCGGCGGCCAAGAGTGGTTCTGGACAGCATGGGAGTGCAGGAGGCCGTGCTGACCTCACTGTGCCCGCTACCCCCAGGTGAGAAGCCCCACAAGTGCCAGGTGTGTGGCAAGGCCTTCAGCCAGAGCTCCAACCTCATCACGCACAGCCGCAAGCACACGGGCTTCAAGCCCTTTACCTGCGACCTCTGCGCCAAGGGCTTCCAGCGCAAGGTGGACCTGCGGCGGCACCGCGAGAGCCAGCACAGCCTCAAGTGAGGCCGCTGCCTGAGCCTGTCACCTGGGCTGGCCTCAGCGCTGCATCTCCAGTCTGCCTGAGGTAGCACCCCATGGGAGACTTGAGCTCGTTCAGGACGCCCGGAATTATCCCTTGAGCCCAGGCAGGTCCCTTCTCCTCCAACCATTGCTGCGCTGGTGATGCCTGCTGGGGCTCTCTGGGATGCAGTTGTCCACTGGTGGGCTCTCTGCCCCCTGTGCCCAGAAAGCCGAAATTCCCAGAAGGACAGAGATGGTCACGACTGTCAGAAGCCTGCTCCTGTCCACTGCTGTAAATAAAAATAAAGATGGACATGTTTACCTGTAGCCACTACTTACCCCTTGCCTCTGGCTCCAAGCATGGCGCTGCAGGAGGCTCTGGGCAGGGGCGGAGGGGAGCTTCACACAGCTGTGCAGGAGCCTGGGAGCAGGTGGCGGGGCCTGCACGTGGGCAGCTGGTGAGTGCTGGGAGGAGCCAGGGACTATGTGACGGTCAGGCCTGGGGGTTGGGCTGGTGCCACTGTGGTTTGCAGACCAGGTTGGCCCCGACTGGATCAAGGCATCAGTGAGCCCACAGGCCTCTGTGGACTCGAGCTACCTGCTTCCTGGCTCCTCCCTCCACCTGCCCTGAGCACCTGCCTCCTTCCGCCATTCCTTCTTACGAGGGCTGTCATAGGGGTGTCAGGCCCACCTGGATAAGCCAGGGAGACCATCCCACCCCAGACCACCAGGGGGTCGCTGTGGTGGGCTGCACAGTGGCCCCCAGGGTTGTCAGCTGCACTCTGAGCCTTGCACCCTGAGCGTGACCGTCCATGGCAGGCGTGATTAAGTCCAGCCTGGTGGCACCGCCTTCCCAGCTGTGTGGCTTCAGGTGACCTTGATCCACTGCTGTGCACCATGGTGCTCCCAACAGCCTGTCCTGCTGGAGGATTCTGAGACCAATGAAGTAAAGCAACATACAGGACTGAGTCTGTGACAAGGGCTGCCAAGTCCCAAGTGGCCCTGTTTGGAGTCCTGCACATCAAATGAGGTGTACTCGAATGCCACCTCCTCCCGGAGGCCCCTGGCTGCTCCTGCCACTCTCCTTGGCTGGTTTTCCCTCTACCACCTCTGTCGTCATCATTGCTAGCTGTGGCCCAGCTCCTGGGCTTCTGGGCTGGGCATGCCCCCACCACAGCCGCATGTGAAATGAAGGCCCTACAGGCACTGAGCTGGGCGCAGGCTCCCACTCACTGCCTCTGGTGCACACAGCCTTCTGCGAGACAGGTGTCCTGGCCCTGGCTTACCGACTGGGCAACTGAGGCCGAAGGAGGCCAGACTGTAAGCAGTGGGCTTACCCTTCCCAGAGAGCAGGGTATTTTCAAAAGACTCCCGAAGGTCTGTGGGTGGCTCCTCTTTAGGCTGTGGAGTAACCATGAACTCACAGTCCAGCTCATTTAAAGAGCACTTGACCCCATGGCAGCTCTGCACAGCTGTCAGAGAGGAGCCTGGATTAGATTCTAAGCGGAGGAGGCTGCGTTTTCGAGCCTCCATTTACCCTTCTTTCTGGTGAGACCCGGAGCTGTTTCCTCTAGCTGCGTTCTCTGGGGTGGGCCTGTGGGGAGCTCAGGCTGAGGCTGGTGTCATGGGCAGTGGCAGATCCTGCCCTCCAGCTCTGCTTTGGCCAAATGGGCCCTGAGTGCCCACCTGCAGAGGCCCATCCTGGTCAGCCAAGTTCCCTATACCACCAGCCAGGTGGGTAGGTGGCTGCACAGGCCAGGGGCCTAGAGGCCTGCAGGGTGGGCTCTGAAGATACGGAGAGATGGGGCTGATGCAGAGGTCAGGATGCCTGCACGTGGGCAACGCCTGCCCTGCCTTCTCCTGGCCAAGGGGGCAGTGCCACCCTGAGAGGGAAGGGACTGGTCGGAAGCCACACTCCCAAGGCCAGGAGCAAGTGCCAGGGTAGGTGCTGGGGCTGGGAGGCACTCAGCTCTGTGCCTTTTACACACACACACACACACACACACACACACACACACACCCCACATACCACATATGCACACATGCACAGGGATCAGAGATGCTTTGCATGCTCCTTGTTTGCTAAACAAAACCAAGCCAGCTGGGTGTGGTGCTGCATACCTATCCCACCACTCAGGAGGCTGAGGCAGGAGAAGCGCTGTAAATTTGAGGCCAGCCTGGACTACATAGTGAATTCGCAGCCAGTCTGAGCAATGTGGTGAGACTCTGTCTTATAAAACCAACCAACCAAACAAATACCAAGCCAATGTTAGGATGTCAGCCTCTCTGCAGCAGGGAAGGAGGGTGGGGGTGGGGGGGGCTGGCACCCCCACTGCTGAGGGAGGGCACAGGTATGGGCACAGGAATCTGTGTGCAGGCTGCAAAGTCCTGGCAAGGCCATGGCCAGGCTGGCACCATGCAGATGCCATCGGGACCTCTGGGCTGTGACAACACGGAGCCACAGCTCCTGGGCAGGACAGCGCCCAGCAAAGCTCAAAGACTGGCACCAGATCAGGCAGCAGTGCCCCCTCCCCTGGCCACGGGCACAGTTCTCTGCAGAGCAGGGACTGTGCTCAGCACCCAGGAGTGGGTGTGAGGGGCTGTGTGGCCAGTGCTGGGACTCTGCCACCTGTTGTGACTTGAGGGACATCCAAGTCACCCCTCTTTTCCCCCCAATGTCTCGTAGCCTGAAGTCCCTACCATGCAAGTCATTGGAAGGCTGGTGTCACTGGTAGTGGCAGACCCCCTGTCATTTCCAGTTGTCACACCAGAAGACAGGCCCAGTGTCACCCTGAGGTGTCCTCTCTGAGGAGAACTGGGTGGGCATGGGGGGGACCTCAGGCTGGCACTGAGGACTCGATCCAGAGTGTCCATCTACTCAGCGGTAGGAAAAACAATGAGTGGTGAGAACAATGAAATAGCCTCATACTAAGGCAGCTGTCGTGCCAGGGGTTGGGATGCAATGCCGGAATTAGTTTCCAGATAAAATGTCCCATTGGTGGTGGCCCCGGGCTCTGCAGTGCCTCCAAATGTGTGAGCAGGCCAGGTCCCTGAAAGATGACCTGACCCTGCCCAGCAGGGACTAGGGCTCTGAGGGACAGACCAGGGGTGCCCAGCCACCCTCCACGGAAATCACCAATGAAGTAAAATGGGTCTCAGCCAGCCCTGCCTGTTGGATTCTGGCCTGGGACATGGTGCAGCCAGATGGAGATGCGGTAGGACAGGGCACCGGCCGAGACCCACCCGGGAGGAAGGGCGAAAGTGACCGGAAGCGTGGGTTGGCCAGTACCGCACTAAGGACAGGGACACCCAGAGAAGGAGGGCGACAGCAGCTGAGCCTGGGGCCAGGCCCTACTTGGGGCAGGGTGGCCTTGGGAGCAGAGGGGCTCGGGGTTCCCGGAGTGAAGATGTGGGGAAGGGGTGAGGCTGAGGCAGGAGCAGGCAGGTGGGCAGAGGAGCTCCGCAGTCCGCCCGGCCCTGTACCAGGAGTTCAAGGCCAGCAGTGGTTATTCCAGCTATTGTTGGCTCCTCCCTACAAGGGCCTTTGGAGAGTCTCTGCTGTCTCTTCACCCCGGCACTCTGCCCCTGGTGTTCCCGCTGCCCCAAAGCCCTCCCAGCCCTAAGTCTCACTTCAAACTCTCAACAAAAGCTTTCTGGGTGCCCCTGTCCCTCTGCCCCCTCCTGGGGCTGACACTTCAGGAAGCAGCGGGTTGGACATGCAGACCAGCCATGGGCACTTCTGTGCAGCCTCTGTGTAGAGGCAAAATAAACCAGAAACAAGCCGGGCATGGTGACACGCGCCTGTTGTTCGAGCACTCGGGAAGCTGAGGCAGCAGGGTCATGGTGAGTGCAAGGCAGGCCTGGGCCACGGAATGAGCACAAGGCCGGGCTACACAGCAAGACCCTGTCTCAGAAAAGAAAAAAACAAAAACCTCCCCCAAACAAGCAAAGGACAAGGGTAAGCAGTTGATGGTGCATTCTCTTAAAGAGCTCTAAACTTGTACTGGTTCAGTAATACAGCCTCAAATACGGAAAGCAAAAATAGAGTTAAATAGGGGCCAGGGATAGAGCTCAGTGGTACAAGTGCATGTCTGGCAAGTGCAAGGTCCTGAGTTCAAGTCCATCTCTGGTCCAGAGAGAGAGAGAGAGAGAGAGAGAGAGAGAATCAGATAGATAGTAAGAAACAGGGAGATGAATCTTTTGTGAAATGAAAAGGACCAGAGAAGAAGGAAGGAGGGAAGGAGGAGGTGGTGTAGAGGACCAGTTCCAGCTCCCTTTGAGGAGGGTAGTTGTCATGAACTGTGACCACGGCCCACTAAAAATAAAAATAAATATAAATGGAACCTATAGGGAGAAATGGACCTTCATATTCCTAGAGGGAAACTACATTCCACTTCTTTAGTAACTGAAAAAACAAAACAAAACAAACAAACAAAAAAACCCCTATCTTGTTAAAATAGACTTGGTCACAGTCAGGAAGAACTGTGACCTAGGACCTTACATCTAACTGTCCATCATTTCCTACTGGCCCTCAGGGGCATGTTTATTATATAAATATTGTCTGCAATCTCCTTTTTAAAAAGCAAAGTCTGGATCATATTTGATTTGATTTTTAAATCGGGTGCACCCACATTCCCAGCCCAGAATGGCCCCCCAGGGTCCGGCCTGTGCAGCACACATCTCGATTTTCTCCACTTCCCTTTTCCCTCCTATTCTGAGTAATTTAGAGATGATATAAACCGCACAGGCAGTGCGCTGGGGTCAGCTGCAAATGCTGGGTCATTTTGTGCAGGGACGGCGCCCCCGTGGGTTTTCAGGCCCCCCAGCAGTTCTAGAACGGATCCCTCAGCACGACCGAGGTGGGCCTGCTCCATCGAGGTGGGCCTGCTTGAGCGAGGCCCAGCAAACCGTGGATGGCAGAAGTTTCCAGAAAAGAGGGTGAATTTGCTATCAATCCAAGAAACTTGGACGCATGCCTCTGTGTGTGTGTGTGTGTGTGTGTGTGTGTGTGTGTGTGTGTACTGGAAAAATGGAAGTGAAAATATTTTGCAGGATAAAAGCATTGGCGGAGGAAGCTTTTCACATTTGAAGTGAAAATGTGGATTGAAAATCAGCCTTG